AAAGCTGCTGGTGAGCGTCTTAAAGAGGGGGCTAACATAAACAAATCTTTGTCGTATTAGGAAATGTGATAAGGCACACTAAGCGAGGGGAAGGAGTTTATCAGTTATCGCGATTCGAAAATTGACTAGACTGCTCTCACAGGCTCTTGGCGGTAATGCCAAATCTTGATTATTCGGGAATGTTACTTTAGCTGAGAGGAGGAGACTAGATCTACCAGAATTCGCCCAAAGCACTAAAACTGTCAAAAATAAAACGAAAGTAACTCTTGTCGCTACAGAAGAGACACTTCAAGGATATAGAACTTGACTCGCGATCTCGAAACTCGGCTCAAAAAGCAGGCAATTAAGCTAAAAGAGATGGATAAAAGCAACAAAGAGTATCTGCCGAGATAGAAAGACTAAAAACGGAAGTAGTATCTATTGTCGGGCGCTTTCAAATGGAGCCTCGGCATCACCACACCGAAAAAAACATTAAGACGTCATACTTTTGGACACTATGGCAACGTATCACCTAAAAAAAGCATCCCTAGGGTATATGCCATTGAAAAAATTATCCACCCAAAGAAGAATCATCCGGACGTGAAATGAGGCCTATTCAAGAAGAGACATATGAGGAGGCACTAGCCGAAGCAGAATCTGTGATAGCTGAAGACGTGCAGTGTACTTAAAGACAACGCAAAGAACTGGAAGAATCTTTCAATGAGCTTAGAGAATTCACTAAACTAGATATCAGCTGGAGATTTTGGACCTGAAGAAACAGCTCACAGAAGCCAATTCTAAATTCGATCGTTACAAGGAACTCCGCCAAGTAACGGATGCGTACAACGAAGAATAGAAAGAGTTCAAAAAAATTCTCAAAAAGCGCAAGAATTTCATCGACTTGCAATAAGACTCGATTTTCTGGAAAAAAAATAAAAAAGACTAAAACATACGAGTCAGAAATAGAGATGCTGCGTACTCAACTGAAGAACCTAGGAAGATCAGAGAGCCCTAAACCATCTCTTGAAGCTCAAAATATTGAGTCAAAAAAGAAGGTTGCAGACTAGAAGCTATGCTTGACGCTGAGTACGAAGATATGCAACATTCTTTAAGTGCTGCTGCACAAACTGATGTAACGATGTCACACATTGCTGAACTGCAAGATGAAATTGGCTTCCTAAAAGAACTTGAATCTAAACTGAGATATGACCGTAAAGAGGTCTGATGGACGAGAGTAACCAACGTGAGGTCAACCACTCATTTAAAATCTCAGATATACGATGCCATAATGATTCTATATAAAAGAGCTTCAGGATCAAATGGCTGAACTGGAATGCCAAAACGAAATCTGGATTATGAAAAAGGACGAATCGAGAAAAAATTGCAACACTACTTACAAACCCGAAGCAGGCTGGCACTTAAACCAGAACCACCTGTGCAGGAAGACGTTGCATTTTATAGGGAGCAAGTTGAGTTCTCCCAGAACATGTACAAAAATGAGATAATAGGTGGAGAGTTACGTAATAAACCATAAGAAAAATCTTCAGGCAGTTAAACTAGAAATATGTCTACCCTTGTTTAGTGTTTTACGATTATTGCAGGGTTTGGACAAAGTTTAGGGCTGATCCCAGTGCTCACAGTGTACAATTTTCAGCTAATAAATCTTGAATTCTGAGGTAACAAATCAACTAGAAACTCTGAAAAGTGATTTATCAGAAATCATGCCCTTATTCCATGAAGAGGGATTCGTAAAAATTAAGCAGGTTGTGGCTTATTATCTAGTAAAGATACAAGAATCCCAGATCTGAAAACGATTTATTGTTCATGTGATCACAAACTAGCAGCGACTTGGTTTGTGCGTTGTTGGCACTATTTCTAATCAGGGCCGCAACGATCAAAAACGCACTTGAGACGATTTGCTCGGAGAATACTCACGGATCAAGTCCATTCCATTTTATAGTCAATGCTCAGAGTATTTCTACAATTTGTGATGAACCACATTTATTCAAAAATGGATGAAATGCTCTTATTGACATTAATATGAAAGTGAAGAAGCTGCACAGATTGAACATGTCTAGAAATCATATAATGTTGATCAGCAAACAAGACCATACAAAGAGCTATGTAAATTGAAACCCAGCCACTTGATTTTATAGATTCGTTCAAGAATATAGAAATTAATCCTTTAATGATATCGTCGGATGATTCGAGCTTTCTCAGTTATGTGGTGGGGGTCCCGTGACTTCTCATACGGTATGAGCACGTATACCTCAAACCACAGTTTAATTTAAACATCACAATTGTTGGTTTGTTGACTTTGCGGTCAAATTTGATCCGAGGATGTCAGTTGCGTGTACGATTTGAACTTCCTTCACAATGGATTTTTTCGTTGTTGACGGATGAACAATACACTATAGACTACGCCGAGGACGACGCTGCTATCGATCAACCTGAACAACTTCCTATGGGCGACCTCGCTATGCCTATGGAAAAAACATGTACAATTGGTCAAAACGAGCGCCTGCAACTGGTCGATTATTACGCATTTACCTGAACTAAAGTCCGTGGCAACCAATTTGGAAAATAATAACCCTGTGACTCGAGAAATGCCGATAAATTTCTCCAAATACGTGAAATTTTCGAGACACTCATAGAGAACTGTCGAAATTGTTATATTTCGGGTGAGTCCCCTACAAAATACGAGATGCTCGTGGGCCGGCCGATGTCCTTCCTGTGCCTACAAGAAAACTAAACCGAATAAGTATGGACTGATGATGCAAAGACTCACCACTACCTGCTCAATGCTTTCGTCTATACGAACAGAAATTCACAGCAGATGACTGGTTCACGTCAGTAGAATTACATGTAGAATTGCGCATCAACCAACTGACCTATGTCGGCAGGAAGCGTAAAAATAAGTAACAAGTACCCCAACATGTAGTTCCAAATAAGAAGGAAACACAGCCAGGTACTTCTAAGTTTATGTTGTACAGCCTTAGTAGTATCTTCCAAAACCAATACACATGTTCTCGTATAGCAATCTATGCAGCATGATAACAAAATAGTAGAGGAATCAAAGAAACCTGATAAGATCCTATATTTTTTATAACACTATGAAGGCGGGGGGGTAATGCATTAGATCGGAAGTGTGTAAATTACAATACTGGTTAGAGAACGAGAAGATGGCCTTGTGCTATTTGGTATCCAACCAGCTTCTGTAAATTCCTTTTTTTTTCAGTCTGGGACTGAAAGTTCCATTAGGCGACGAAATTTTATTGTTCCCCTGAGGCAAACTCTAATTTAACTTCGTATGAGAGGACGTTTATCAGATCCAAGACTTCCTAGGGAGCTTCGTTCAGCCATGCAAAGAATCCTAAATTACCAACGACGAATAAAGTAAGCCGTCTACTTCTCAGCCCAGAGTTCTCGATCCTGATGCAGTTGTTAAAGAAAAAAAACGACGTAGGTGTTACATGACAATACACAATGAAAAAAATGTTCTACAATCTGTAATAAGTATGTAAAGTCACAGCGCACTTACATTGTTTCGTGAAAAGTGATAAATGTTAATTATTGTATGTTTCCTTATACGAGAAAGTATTTGTTTTTGTTGTAGAATATCAACACCAAATATGTTGTTAAATGGCCCATTTTGTTAGTTTTTTTATGTTCATATTACAGTTCAAGTTTCGAGGATTATATTTATTGCATTACTCATCTTCAATGGGGTATTTTCGTTTTTAGACAATAAACAGTTTTCATGTAAGAGTGTCTTATGCGTACAAACCTGTTGTACACATGGCTAAAAACAGTAATGGCATTTCAGATGTTGATAGTAAGATCCGGTGGATAACCTGTTTTGCGAGATTAGACGTGGGATTTCCAACACGAACACCATCTGTTTATTTGAAGCATTAAAAACTGTAATAATCAACAATTTCAGTTTTCCATTGACAATAATGAAGAATTATGAAGGCGATTCATGTAAGGCACTAGGTAACTTCGCGTTGCTTTTAGAAGAGTATTGTCTGAATAGACAACAGTTACCTTGTGATTCTTCACCGAGCTGCATTTTTCAAGTTGAAAAATCGGGTGCTGAAAGTGATGGATCTATAGATTTGTGAGAATTTGCTGCTGCTTCAACTTCTTTTGTAATAACAATAACAGTCTATATGAAATTTAACAATTCTGTTTCTTCTTTGATTTTGAGTCACCCTGTAAATGTAGCTCTACTAAACTATCGGACCGCATTCATAGCCTACAAGAGAAAAAAATCTTCTATACTGGAAAGGAGGAAAAAAAGAATGTATCAACCTGATACATCTGCCCCTCTTTATAACCCGTGAAATAGCCCTAGTTCTAATTAAATTTCAGTTCAAGCTTCCAAAATGACTTCCGACAATATTAAAGTAGCCACAAAGATCAGACCAATGATCCACCGCGAAGTAGCCGATGGTCTAGAGCGTCTTTGGAACGTAAGAGTAAACTGCATATGGGAAGCCGATGAAAGTAGTCGCCATGGAGAGGTTTATATATTCGACCATGTATTTAAGCAGGAATGTACAAATTCAGATGTATATGGATCTGTAGTAAAACCTTTAGTCGATTCCTTCATGGAAGGTTTCAATGCCACAATATTTGCATATGGCCAAACATCTTCTGGCAAAACACACACCATTTTGGGCAATAAAACAGATCCTGGGCTTTTCCAATTAGTATCCAATCAGTTATTCCAGCATGTGGCAGACCAGGTTGATAAGAGGTACTTGATTAGATGCAGTTATATTGAAATCTACAATGAAAAGATCAATGACCTCCTGGATAAGAGCAATCAGGGTTTAACTATAAGAAGATATCAAAGGAAATGTGCTGCTTGATGCAAGGGAAGCTGTCGTAGACAATGTTGATAAAGTTATGGAGAACATGATGCAGGGCAATAAGATCAGACGAGTTGCAGCTACTCGCATGAATGAGAGGTCATCTCGATCACACACGATTTTCCGGATTATTCTGGAGTCGAAAGATGCCAATCAGAAAGATGGACCTGTACATATAAGCTACCTTAACTTAATGGACTTAGCTGGTTCTGAGAGAGTTTCTCTGACGAAAGCTGCTGGTGAGCGTCTTAAAGAGGGGGCTAACATAAACAAATCTTTGTCAGTATTAGGAAATGTGATAAGGCAACTAAGCGAGGGGAAGGAGTTTATCAGTTATCGCGATTCGAAATTGACTAGACTGCTCTCACAGGCTCTTGGCGGTAATGCCAAATCATTGATTATCGGGAATGTTACTTTAGCTGCAGAGGAGGAGACTAGATCTACACCAGAATTCGCCCAAAGCACTAAAACTGTCAAAAATAAAACGAAAGTAAACATCTTGTCAGCTACAGAAGAGACACTTCAAGGATATCAGAACTTGACTCGCGATCTCGAAACTCGGCTCAAAAAGCAGGCAATTAAGCTAAAAGAGATGGATAAAAGCAAACAAGAGTATCTGCTCGAGATAGAAAGACTAAAAACGGAAGTATCTATTGTCGGGCGCTTTCAAATGGGAGCCTCGGCATCAACACCGAAAAAAACATTAAGACGTCATACTTTTGGACACTATGGCAACGTATCACCTAAAAAAGCATCCCTAGGGTATATGCCATTGAAAAATTATCCACCCAAAGAAGAATCATCCGGACGTGAAATGAGGCCTATTCAAGAAGAGACATATGAGGAGGCACTAGCCGAAGCAGAATCTGTGATAGCTGAAGACGTGCAAGTGTACTTAAAAGACAACTCAAAGAACTGGAAGAATCTTTCAATGAGCTTAGAGAATTCACTAAACTAGATAATCAGCTGGAGATTTTGGACCTGAAGAAACAGCTCACAGAAGCCAATTCTAAATTCGATCGTTACAGTCAGGAACTCCGCCAAGTAACGGATGCGTACAACGAAGAAATAGAAAGAGTTCAAAAAAATTCTCAAAAAGCGCAAGAATTTCATCGACTTGCAATACAGACTCGATTTTCTGGAAAAAAATAATAAAAAGACTAAAAACATACGAGTCAGAAATAGAGATGCTGCGTACTCAACTGAAGAACCTAGGAAGATCAGAGAGCCCTAAACCATCTCTTGAAGCTCAAAATATTGAGTCAAAAAAGAAGGTTGCAGACTTAGAAGCTATGCTTGACGCTGAGTACGAAGATATGCAACATTCTTTAAGTGCTGCTGCACAAACTGATGTAACGATGTCACACATTGCTGAACTGCAAGATGAAATTGGCTTCCTAAAAGAACTTGAATCTAAACTGAGAAATGACGTAAAGAGTCTGATGGACGAGAGTAACCAACGTGAGGTCAACCACTCATTTAAAATCTCAGATATACGATGCCATAATGATTCTACTATAAAAGAGCTTCAGGATCAAATGGCTGAACTGGAATGCCAAAACGAAATCTGGATTATGAAAAAGGACGACGAAATCAGAAAATTGCAACAACTAATTACAAACCCGAAGCAGGCTGGCACTTAACCAGAACCACCTGTGCAGGAAGACGTTGCATTTTATAGGGAGCAAGTTGAGTTCTCCCAGAACATGTACAAAAATGAGATAATAGGTGGAGAGTTACGTATAAACCATAGAGAAAATCTTCAGGCAGTTAAACTAGAAATATGTCTACCCTTGTTTAGTGTTTACGATTATTGCAGGGTTTGGACAAAGTTTAGGGCTGATCCCAGTGCTCACAGTGTACAATTTTCAGCTAATAAATCTTGAATTCTGAGGTAACAAAATCAACTAGAACTCTGAAAAAGTGATTTATCAGAAATCATGCCCTTACTTCCATGATAAGAGGGATTCGTAAAAATTATAAGCAGGTTGTGGCTTATTATCTAGTAAAAGATACAAGAATCCCAGATCTGAAAACGATTATTGTTCATGTGATCACAAACTAGCAGCGACTTGGTTTGTGCGTTGTTGGCACTATTTCTAATCAGGGCGCAACGATCAAAAACGCACTTGAGACGATTTGCTCGGAGAATACTCACGGATCAAGTCCATTCCATTTTATAGTCAATGCTCAGAGTATTTCTACAATTTGTGATGAACCACATTTATTCAAAAATGGATGAAATGCTCTTATTGACATTAATATGAAAGTGAAGAAGCTGCACAGATTGAACATGTCTAGAAATCATATAATGTTGATCAGCAAACAAGACCATACAAAGAGCTATGTAAATTGAAACCCAGCCACTTTGATTTTATAGATTCGTTCAAGAATATAGAAATTAATCCTTTAATGATATCGTCGGATGATTCGAGCTTTCTCAGTTATGTGGTGGGGGTCCCGTGACTTCTCATACGGTATGAGCACGTATACCTCAAACCACAGTTTAATTTAAACATCACAATTGTTGGTTTGTTGACTTTGCGGTCAAATTTGATCCGAGGATGTCAGTTGCGTGTACGATTTGAACTTCCTTCACAATGGATTTTTTCGTTGTTGACGGATGAACAATACACTATAGACTACGCCGAGGACGACGCTGCTATCGATCAACCTGAACAACTTCCTATGGGCGACCTCGCTATGCCTATGGAAAAAACATGTACAATTGGTCAAAACGAGCGCCTGCAACTGGTCGATTATTACGCATTTACCTGAACTAAAGTCCGTGGCAACCAATTTGGAAAATAATAACCCTGTGACTCGAGAAATGCCGATAAATTTCTCCAAATACGTGAAATTTTCGAGACACTCATAGAGAACTGTCGAAATTGTTATATTTCGGGTGAGTCCCCTACAAAATACGAGATGCTCGTGGGCCGATGTCCTTCCTGTGCCTACAAGAAAACTAAACCGAATAAGTATGGACTGATGATGCAAAGACTCACCACTACCTGCTCAATGCTTTCGTCTATACGAACAGAAATATCACAGCAGATGACTGGTTCACGTCAGTAGAATTACATGTAGAATTGCGCATCAACCAACTGACCTATGTCGGCAGGAAGCGTAAAAATAAGTAACAAGTACCCCAACATGTAGTTCCAAATAAGAAGGAAACACAGCCAGGTACTTCTAAGTTTATGTTGTACAGCCTTAGAGTAGTATCTTCCAAAACCAAATACACATGTTCTCGTATAGCAATCTATGCAGCATGATAACAAAATAGTAGAGGAATCAAAGAAACCTGATAAGATCCTATATTATTTTTATAACACTATGAAGGCGGGGGGTAATGCATTAGATCGGAAGTGTGTAAATTACAATACTGGTTAGAGAACGAGAAGATGGCCTTGTGCTATTTGGTATCCAACCAGCTTCTGTAAATTCCTTTTTTTTCAGTCTGGGACTGAAAGTTCCATTAGGCGACGAAATTTTATTGTTCCCCTGAGGCAAACTCTAATTTAACTTCGTATGAGAGGACGTTTATCAGATCCAAGACTTCCTAGGGAGCTTCGTTCAGCCATGCAAAGAATCCTAAATTACCAACGACGAATAAAGTAAGCCGTCTACTTCTCAGCCCAGAGTTCTCGATCCTGATGCAGTTGTTAAAGAAAAAAAACGACGTAGGTGTTACATGACAATACACAATGAAAAAAATGTTCTACAATCTGTAATAAGTATGTAAAGTCACAGCGCACTTACATTGTTTCGTGAAAAGTGATAAATGTTAATTATTGTATGTTTCCTTATACGAGAAAGTATTTGTTTTTGTTGTAGAATATCAACACCAAATATGTTGTTAAATGGCCCATTTTGTTAGTTTTTTTATGTTCATATTACAGTTCAAGTTTCGAGGATTATATTTATTGCATTACTCATCTTCAATGGGGTATTTTCGTTTTTAGACAATAAACAGTTTTCATGTAAGAGTGTCTTATGCGTACAAACCTGTTGTACACATGGCTAAAAACAGTAATGGCATTTCAGATGTTGATAGTAAGATCCGGTGGATAACCTGTTTTGCGAGATTAGACGTGGGATTTCCAACACGAACACCATCTGTTTATTTGAAGCATTAAAAACTGTAATAATCAACAATTTCAGTTTTCCATTGACAATAATGAAGAATTATGAAGGCGATTCATGTAAGGCACTAGGTAACTTCGCGTTGCTTTTAGAAGAGTATTGTCTGAATAGACAACAGTTACCTTGTGATTCTTCACCGAGCTGCATTTTTCAAGTTGAAAAATCGGGTGCTGAAAGTGATGGATCTATAGATTTGTGAGAATTTGCTGCTGCTTCAACTTCTTTTTGTAATAACAATAACAGTCTATATGAAATTTAACAATTCTGTTTCTTCTTTGATTTTGAGTCACCCTGTAAATGTAGCTCTACTAAACTATCGGACCGCATTCATAGCCTACAAGAGAAAAAAATCTTCTATACTGGAAAGGAGGAAAAAAAGAATGTATCAACCTGATACATCTGCCCCTCTTTATAACCCGTGAAATAGCCCTAGTTCTAATTAAATTTCAGTTCAAGCTTCCAAAATGACTTCCAACAATATTAAAGTAGCCACAAAGATCAGACCAATGATCCACCGCGAAGTAGCCGATGGTCTAGAGCGTCTTTGGAACGTAAGAGTAAACTGCATATGGGAAGCCGATGAAAGTAGTCGCCATGGAGAGGTTTATATATTCGACCATGTATTTAATCAGGAATGTACAAATTCAGATGTATATGGATCTGTAGTAAAACCTTTAGTCGATTCCTTCATGGAAGGTTTCAATGCCACAATATTTGCATATGGCCAAACATCTTCTGGCAAAACACACACCATTTTGGGCAATAAAACAGATCCTGGGCTTTTCCAATTAGTATCCAATCAGTTATTCCAGCATGTGGCAGACCAGGTTGATAAGAGGTACTTGATTAGATGCAGTTATATTGAAATCTACAATGAAAAGATCAATGACCTCCTGGATAAGAGCAATCAGGGTTTAACTATGAGAAGATATCAAAGGAAATGTGCTGCTTGATGCAAGGGAAGCTGTCGTAGACAATGTTGATAAAGTTATGGAGAACATGATGCAGGGCAATAAGATCAGACGAGTTGCAGCTACTCGCATGAATGAGAGGTCATCTCGATCACACACGATTTTCCGGATTATTCTGGAGTCGAAAGATGCCAATCAGAAAGATGGACCTGTACATATAAGCTACCTTAACTTAATGGACTTAGCTGGTTCTGAGAGAGTTTCTCTGACGAAAGCTGCTGGTGAGCGTCTTAAAGAGGGGGCTAACATAAACAAATCTTTGTCAGTATTAGGAAATGTGATAAGGCAACTAAGCGAGGGGAAGGAGTTTATCAGTTATCGCGATTCGAAATTGACTAGACTGCTCTCACAGGCTCTTGGCGGTAATGCCAAATCATTGATTATCGGGAATGTTACTTTAGCTGCAGAGGAGGAGACTAGATCTACACCAGAATTCGCCCAAAGCACTAAAACTGTCAAAAATAAAACGAAAGTAAACATCTTGTCAGCTACAGAAGAGACACTTCAAGGATATCAGAACTTGACTCGCGATCTCGAAACTCGGCTCAAAAAGCAGGCAATTAAGCTAAAAGAGATGGATAAAAGCAAACAAGAGTATCTGCTCGAGATAGAAAGACTAAAAACGGAAGTATCTATTGTCGGGCGCTTTCAAATGGGAGCCTCGGCATCAACACCGAAAAAAACATTAAGACGTCATACTTTTGGACACTATGGCAACGTATCACCTAAAAAAGCATCCCTAGGGTATATGCCATTGAAAAATTATCCACCCAAAGAAGAATCATCCGGACGTGAAATGAGGCCTATTCAAGAAGAGACATATGAGGAGGCACTAGCCGAAGCAGAATCTGTGATAGCTGAAGACGTGCAAGTGTACTTAAAAGACAACTCAAAGAACTGGAAGAATCTTTCAATGAGCTTAGAGAATTCACTAAACTAGATAATCAGCTGGAGATTTTGGACCTGAAGAAACAGCTCACAGAAGCCAATTCTAAATTCGATCGTTACAGTCAGGAACTCCGCCAAGTAACGGATGCGTACAACGAAGAAATAGAAAGAGTTCAAAAAAATTCTCAAAAAGCGCAAGAATTTCATCGACTTGCAATACAGACTCGATTTTCTGGAAAAAAATAATAAAAAGACTAAAAACATACGAGTCAGAAATAGAGATGCTGCGTACTCAACTGAAGAACCTAGGAAGATCAGAGAGCCCTAAACCATCTCTTGAAGCTCAAAATATTGAGTCAAAAAAGAAGGTTGCAGACTTAGAAGCTATGCTTGACGCTGAGTACGAAGATATGCAACATTCTTTAAGTGCTGCTGCACAAACTGATGTAACGATGTCACACATTGCTGAACTGCAAGATGAAATTGGCTTCCTAAAAGAACTTGAATCTAAACTGAGAAATGACGTAAAGAGTCTGATGGACGAGAGTAACCAACGTGAGGTCAACCACTCATTTAAAATCTCAGATATACGATGCCATAATGATTCTACTATAAAAGAGCTTCAGGATCAAATGGCTGAACTGGAATGCCAAAACGAAATCTGGATTATGAAAAAGGACGACGAAATCAGAAAATTGCAACAACTAATTACAAACCCGAAGCAGGCTGGCACTTAACCAGAACCACCTGTGCAGGAAGACGTTGCATTTTATAGGGAGCAAGTTGAGTTCTCCCAGAACATGTACAAAAATGAGATAATAGGTGGAGAGTTACGTATAAACCATAGAGAAAATCTTCAGGCAGTTAAACTAGAAATATGTCTACCCTTGTTTAGTGTTTACGATTATTGCAGGGTTTGGACAAAGTTTAGGGCTG